TTTAGAGTATATCGAATCCACAAAATAAAAGGTAATATGAAATTATAATTTTTTATTAGGATAAAATCATATTTTTTAACGATTATATTAACAGATGTCAACGAAAAGTAGTTATATGTTACACATGCACAAACGTCATGAGATGTAAGGGGAATATTCTAAATGCGAAGGAGTTCAAATGATTAAGTGACAAACATGAGGGGATTTAGGTATAATTTATCAATTTAATTTTAGGTGCACATTGATACAAATTTCTATCTTTGAGGGTGTAAATTGAGATTTTTTATCTTTGGGGGATGCACATTGATACAAATTTCTATCTTTGAGGGAGTAAATTAAAATTTTTGATATTTGAGGGTATAAATTAAGATTTGAACAATCTTTTAGGGTGTAAAATGAGATTAACCCAATTAGATAATTGGTTCTCATTCAATCCACACAAATGGTATTAATAAGAGTATTATTTGATCATATTCTTTCTGTAGCACATTTGGATCACGATTGGGATAATGTATAAATTTATAATTATAATACTAAATTTATGTTTGGATTAGGTAATAGTGTATGATATTAAATTTAAAATGACAAAATAAATATTGAGGGCAAGAGTTTGTATAATGTGTAATTTTTGTAGGAAGGTGTGAATCTTGGTTTGCAAGGATAATAAAATTATTATATTTTTAATAATAAACTTGTTAGAAATAATACCACCTATCACATAGTATTTATTAATATTTAATATTAGATGTTAAGAAACAATAAGGTCGGAATTAATGAGAAATTACTACGGAGTCATTATAATTCAATTTAAATTTAGTATTACATCATCACCAAATAAAATTAATCAAATTCAGTTTCTTAATACCTAAACCAAAACGTGCCCCTAGGGTAAGCAAGTGTATGGAAAAACCAAACGTGTGTGGGTCATTTTTTTAACAGTCCAATAAGGATGCCCTTTTTTTGTTAGAAAAAAAATTGGAACTAGAAAATTAATAATTTAATTTAGACTTAATTTGTTGACATAATTTATTAACGTAATTTATCACAACTTTCATGTCTGAACAAATAAAAACGTTGACAAAAACAAATATTAATTTTTTTTTCAATTTTGTGTAGCGAAAAATTGTCTCAATCACACATTTTTAGGACTCGTGACCACAATTACTCACAAATTATGCCAAAATTTTACGTGTTCAATGAGATTAGAATTTAAGATGTTTAGGTCCCGGCGCATTAGTATAAGTCGGAGGCAAATGTCTTTCTTACTCATTAGAGAGGTTGAAATTAGTGAGGCACTTGGAAAATTATAGCTAATGAAGAAGAATTGTCGAGTCCATCAGAGACCGGCACTCGGTTCAGAGGTTGGTAGGACTCTGATAGATGCCACTTACCAAAGCAAGGTAGAAAGAAAAGTCACCAAGAAATTAATGGGTTCATCCCCCATCTAACCAGATGACAAAAATTAACTAGTTTGGCATCATTTCAACAACTTTTAAAGAATCCATTAGGAAGCCCATTAAATGTAGTGACCTTATCCCTAATTTTTGCTGACGAAAATTCTCTTAATCACGTGTTTTCAAACAGGGTTAAAAGTAACGGCGCAAATCTCACATGCACACAATGACTAATTTTACTCAATGACCGACCCATTTTACTTGATGAATTGACATCAGTCCTCCTCTATAAATTGTGAAGCACTCCTTCGGCCTAGTACGCAAAAGGTGCATACCATTCCCTCTATTTCTCTTTTCTTAAGAAGATGAAGGTGTCTTGTTTTGCACTTTGTCTAGTGGCAGTGGTGGTGGTGGTGCTTGTGATGGGAGAGGCACGCGTGGCCGTGGCAGTGACTTGCACCCCAACGGAGCTGAGCCCATGCGCTGAGGCGATCAAGTCGCCGAAGCCACCGTCTGCTGAATGTTGCAAAAAGCTGAAGGAGCAGATTCCTTGCCTTTGTGGGTACATAAAAGACCCCAACCTCAAGCAGTATGTCAACTCTCCCAATGCCCAAAAGGTTGCTAAGTCCTGTGGTGTGAAAGTCCCAACTTGTTAAAATATTGAAGGCGTCACTTTGCTGCTTGCAAAGTGAACTACTCATATATATGAAATAAGATTTACTGGTTCCTAGTAGAAATGGTTGTTCTATTTCTCTTTCTCTCTCTCATACACATACACACACGCACTCACTCGCGAATTCAGATTTTCGCTAATAACAGATACTTTCAATTCACCTAACACTACTTTGTATAACATGTACCTGATATGCATGCATTGCAAATGATTGCTCTTCTCTCGAATTCATATAATATTCACGAGTCCAAAATACCCATGGTGAAGATAGTTTTCTGATATGGGAAAAAAAATCTAAAGAGATTTTGATTTATAAATATCTTAAATCAAAAAAGATCAAACATATTGTATGCTGTAAATTGAAGAGTAGATGATACCAAGCCGTGAGTAGGTATGTCAATAAAGTGGATGTTTAATTCGAATTCAAGTCTATTTAATCGAATATAGATTAATATTTTAATCTGTTTATCTGAATTCGATTAAATTTCTTTAACTAATTTATATTTAGATACATGTAAATCAGATCCAATAAAAATTTAATTTGACATATATATTAAGTTAAAAGTTAACTTAAATTTAATAAAATTATTTATTTTTGTTTTATGAAATTTTTTTGAGATTTAAATTTTTTTTATATCATATCGGGTAATTAGATCGGATATCTGATTATTAACAAATATGGATATAAATTCAACTTTTAAATTGGTTGAATAAATAAATCGAATTTAAAACTCAAATTTTTTTATCAGATTTCGATCCAGATCTTATCCGTTGACTGCCCTGGTCATGAGTTATTAAATTGGTCCTGCAAGGCCTGACCCCGCATTCCAGAAATCTTTTACTTTTGCTGGAAAGAGGTAGCCCGGTTCATCCGATTAATGTACAACAGGACCAGCAAGCAGCTATAGGATTTTGGGTGGGTTGTGGAGTGAACCTATCCATTACCTATTTCAGAACAAAAATTGCTTCCATAAGTTGTCGCTGATTCTGGGCCTATGAAATGGTCTGAGTCTACCTTGTCCTTCAATCAATGGCCCATAATGGATTGATGGTAGAGCAGTCATGTCGTTAATTGTATATCGGATGACCGTCTACAAATTGTACGTCTTGTAGTTAAGATCGATAATCAGAACAAATTACTCAAATTTAACTCGCGTTCGACCTCAAATAATATTTTTGGCTCGATTATTAGTTTTACTTGTAGCTTGTGCATCGTGCCAGATCAAGCCACTTCAATTTTTTTGTTTTCTAATTTTTTTTATTATTATTTTTTTTCAATCTAAACAGATAAATGGGCTCTGTGGGTTATATATATATATAATAAACATTAAACAGTAACACGCTTAATATAAAAATAATAACATTAAACATGAAAACGCTAAAAAAAAAATAGTAATACTAAACAGTAACACATTCAATAAAAAAATAATAACATCAAAACAGTAATATACTTAACAAAAATTTAATTATTGTGATAGAGTGATATCTCCACAACGGAATAAATACTCACATATGATGTCATATATGGGTACCTTTTTTAGAATTTACTTTGAAAATATTTTAAAATATATATTTATTGATAATTATTTGATAAAAAAAAAAATTTAAGAAGGGTAAATTTAAAAGTAACCCTTAAAACCAAATAAATTCAGTAAAAATATAAGATAACCACGTCCCATTTTGTCATCCGTGACCTGTCATTTGACAGCCAGGCCGTTTCTTTTGGCCGCCAAGCTCACAAGTCTGCCCGCTGTTCAGCACTTCTGTTGTGAAGGCTTCGGCGGCTAGGCAATATAGGTGGCTGGTCCTCACAAAGAGTTAAAGCTTGTTTGGATGATGGTAATTTTAATTGAGAATGAAATTTTTATTTTTAAATTTTAAGTTATTATATTTAAATAATTAATAATTCAGTAATTTAATTCAGAAATAAAGCCTTACCATAATTCAATTCTCAATAATTATGAGTATCCTAAAGTTATGACCAATGATAGTAATCTCATACTTGCATTGATTGAGTATTATTTATAAATAATAAAAATCTCAAAATGAACATCGTTTATAAAATTAAGTTCTCCACTTAAAATTAATCACTTTTCTAAAATATTTTGACAATGACATTAATTTTCACATTAAATTATTGACAATAATCAAATATTAAATATAATATTACTATAGTAATAAAATCTTGGGTATCTTATTATTAAAAATGAAGTATTCATTCTTAGTTAAAATTAGTGTCATCCAAACGTGTCTTGAGGTGTAACATAAAAATGAAGTATTCATTCTTATGGGAAGGTTCCACAAGTTTTTGTCAATAAAATTAACATTAATGCTTCTCCTTGTTTCTCCTTCCCCCAAAGTCTTAAAACACAAGAAAAGGAACGAGTGTATCAAACCCATTTCAAGCAAGCATGTTGGTCTTTAATGGCGATTCATCCAACCATTGCATGTGCATTGTTATATTTATATTTGCAATATGCGTATATAATATTAAACTTATCATTTCTTAATACGATTTTTAAACCAAACTACGTTATAACATGTTTTTTTTGTGCATGACTTATCTTTTTGTTAATAAACAATATAAAAAATAGTGAACTTCATCTAACTTTTGATTCTCTCGAAATTAAAACATTGGAAAACTTCGTAAGGGATGGCAATGAAGGCAAAAAAAGATTATAAAACGTGGTTAACCCTATGTTTTCATTTATTAATTCAGATAGATATAATAATGTATATGTTCTATATCAAAGATGAAGGACATGATAGTAGCTAAGTGGCTTGTGAGTTTGAGATAGTCCTTAGACCCACCCCATAAAAAAGACTAGTTTTTTTTTTAAACCACATACATTGGTGATCAATCTTTGGCCTAATTCGAACTTTAAACCTCCTAATTGGAAGCTGAGGACTTGGTCATCAGGGCTAATCCATGATTTAAAGTAAATGACATTTTTTAGAATTTTTTTTTGTCAAGTAAGTTTAACCGATACATATAACTAGTGGATAATTACAAATATTTATGATTTATTTTGGTTTCCAATAAGTATAATCTTTTGAAGTTTTTCATAGGTAAAAGAATACTAACTATTACATTTTTTAAAAATGTTTATTTAACAATTTGTGAAACTGTCAATGTTTATAACGCTAAACTTTTTTTACTGATGGGGTGCAAAATTTATATAATAAAGTACAAGATAATTCAAATTTTAAATAACAAAAAATATAATTTTTATTTTTCAAGGTCTAAATTAACCTAAATTTTTAAAAAATTAATTTAATAATTAAAAATTTTAAATTCAAATTACATTCCTTTTTCTAATTAATGTTGACTAGATGGTGGGAAGGTATAATAGCGGTGGGCAAGTGCAACATGCGACCTGCGTTTTACAAGAAAATCGGATCCCCGACAGCTTTTCTTCAAAGTTCTGACTGGTTTTAAGAGGTAGAAACCTCCAACCCCCTGTAAAAAGCCCACCCCGTATCTTACCAATCCTCTCTCTCTCTCTCTCTCTCTCACATGCAAGAGTAGGACCAATTAGCTAATTAGCCTGGCCCACCCGTTGTGCGACATTTCACGAAAATGAAATATTAATTTGATAAAATTTTATTTAACGATTAATATTAAAATAATGAGTCAATTAAAGGATATCAATTAAATGTATACATTTACAATTACAAGTTGAATTTGATATTTGCAAATTCATATGTATAAAGCTGAGTTTCATTCTATTATTGATATTATTACGTTGTTGTTAAATGATTTTGTTAAGGTAAAATTGGGCGAGTGATATTGAATCCGATAATGAGTTAGGTCGTGTTTTTTTTTAATTTATATATTTTTTAGTCATTCGATAAATTATGTACACAAATTAATATTTTTTTGTATTATGTTTTTAAAGTAAACTCTATCGATTTTTTTGAGGTCTAAATTGATTTAAAATAGCATAAGTACTATAAATATTTCTATGCGATTAAAAATATCTATATTACATGAATAGTGTTCAATTTTATATTGCACAATGACTTCAAGAAACGAATTTTGTCCATTTAAAAAAAAAAAGTGATCGTCACAATTTAATATTTAATATAATAAAATTGATTAAAGTGTTCTACTTTTATATTGCATTGAGGTAGAGGCTATTATTAGTGATCCCTATATAGGGACACTTTCTGCATAGAAAAAGATGCCATCCGATCTGATAACTTTGATTACACTAATAAATTCAGATAAATTTTTTAATGTAGACGGAAAAAGGGCAGAATGCACACATTAAGCAAGTTGAGAATAAATGAAAAAAAATGCTAAATAGACTTAATACATTAATAAATAATTTTTCAAAAAATATTATGGCGAGGAGTGGATGGGGTGAAGGTGGCCATAGGGGTGGTATGGTAGGATTGTGATGTCTATTTGGATCTATAGGAGGGTATATTAAATTCTCTAATTACAAAATGATGACATAGCGTAGGGTTGCAACAAACATTTATTACTCCCAATCCATGCTAGTGTGGAGAAGCTAGCAATGTTCTGGATAAGACCCACAAGCTAACAGACTCACCAACTTCTCAGCTTCATCCCCCATACATACCAATACAAATCCAAATCCTTTGAACTTAACCAGTCCCAAATCAGCTTTGACCCGTCTTAGACGTACCTCCCTTGGATAACCATCACCCACCTGTCAGTCTTACCGATCTAATTCAACAACCAAACCCTAATCTTTGGAATTTTTTTTTTATACGTTTTATGGGGTGATACGCTGCGCCTAGACTTTGTTCAATTGTCTCTCTCTCCCTCTAACCTATAAATAGCAGCGAAACATCATAAAATCTTGAAACTTCTATCTCTGATCTTCAGACCCTTAACTATCTCAAATCAATTCTCAAGCACCGCNCTCTCTCTCTCTCTCTCTCACATGCAAGAGTAGGACCAATTAGCTAATTAGCCTGGCCCACCCGTTGTGCGACATTTCACGAAAATGAAATATTAATTTGATAAAATTTTATTTAACGATTAATATTAAAATAATGAGTCAATTAAAGGATATCAATTAAATGTATACATTTACAATTACAAGTTGAATTTGATATTTGCAAATTCATATGTATAAAGCTGAGTTTCATTCTATTATTGATATTATTACGTTGTTGTTAAATGATTTTGTTAAGGTAAAATTGGGCGAGTGATATTGAATCCGATAATGAGTTAGGTCGTGTTTTTTTTTAATTTATATATTTTTTAGTCATTCGATAAATTATGTACACAAATTAATATTTTTTTGTATTATGTTTTTAAAGTAAACTCTATCGATTTTTTTGAGGTCTAAATTGATTTAAAATAGCATAAGTACTATAAATATTTCTATGCGATTAAAAATATCTATATTACATGAATAGTGTTCAATTTTATATTGCACAATGACTTCAAGAAACGAATTTTGTCCATTTAAAAAAAAAAAGTGATCGTCACAATTTAATATTTAATATAATAAAATTGATTAAAGTGTTCTACTTTTATATTGCATTGAGGTAGAGGCTATTATTAGTGATCCCTATATAGGGACACTTTCTGCATAGAAAAAGATGCCATCCGATCTGATAACTTTGATTACACTAATAAATTCAGATAAATTTTTTAATGTAGACGGAAAAAGGGCAGAATGCACACATTAAGCAAGTTGAGAATAAATGAAAAAAAATGCTAAATAGACTTAATACATTAATAAATAATTTTTCAAAAAATATTATGGCGAGGAGTGGATGGGGTGAAGGTGGCCATAGGGGTGGTATGGTAGGATTGTGATGTCTATTTGGATCTATAGGAGGGTATATTAAATTCTCTAATTACAAAATGATGACATAGCGTAGGGTTGCAACAAACATTTATTACTCCCAATCCATGCTAGTGTGGAGAAGCTAGCAATGTTCTGGATAAGACCCACAAGCTAACAGACTCACCAACTTCTCAGCTTCATCCCCCATACATACCAATACAAATCCAAATCCTTTGAACTTAACCAGTCCCAAATCAGCTTTGACCCGTCTTAGACGTACCTCCCTTGGATAACCATCACCCACCTGTCAGTCTTACCGATCTAATTCAACAACCAAACCCTAATCTTTGGAATTTTTTTTTTATACGTTTTATGGGGTGATACGCTGCGCCTAGACTTTGTTCAATTGTCTCTCTCTCCCTCTAACCTATAAATAGCAGCGAAACATCATAAAATCTTGAAACTTCTATCTCTGATCTTCAGACCCTTAACTATCTCAAATCAATTCTCAAGCACCGCCATGGCCACCGACCTATCGGTGATCCTACCTCGTGTCCTCATCGTCTCTAGACGTAGCGTTCGTAAGAACAAGTTTGTGGACTTCGTTGGTATACTTTCTCTCTCTCCCACTCTCTCTATTCCTTCATCTGTTTGCATACATACAAAAGTATCTCTCCCTCTCTCCCTTCATCTTGTTGCATACATACAAAAGTATATATTAATTTATGCATGGGAAGCGGGAACAATCACTCCAAAAATTAGAAAATGAATGGGCTTAATTACTAACTCAGTTTGAATCAAGTTCGATTCAATCAGGATCTATTACCACAAAAGAGAGTTAGATTTTTTTTTTTTTTTTTTGTTCAACGGTGTGGAGCCGTGATATAAAATTCTTTGTATATACATTGTTTTGGTTTTGCAATCCTTTAGTGAAAACCAACGTCCCACATGTCCTCCAAATATACCAAGAAACTAATTAGGACTCTTCATATTTGATAATTCATGTAATTTTGATAGAGTTAGAACAGAGATCTTACCTGAATTTAATCTGTAATTACTAGGTGAATACCATCTCGATCTTATAGTAAACTACGGAGCAGTACCCGTCATCGTTCCCCGAGTCACCGGAGTGCACATGTTGTTGGACAGCTTTGAGCCAATTCATGGTGTTCTTCTCTGTGAAGGAGAAGACATTGATCCATCTCTTTACGAAGCCGAAACGTCCGGTTTGTCACCGGAAGAACTTGAAGAAATCCGTAGACTACATGCCAGCGATACTGCCATTGACAAAGAGAAGGATTCAATTGAACTGAGACTCGCAAAGCTTTGCCTCGAAAGGAACATTCCTTACTTGGGAATATGCAGAGGCTCACAGGTTTTAAATGTCGCCTGTGGAGGAACCCTTTATCAAGACATAGGGAAAGAACTCACAAATAAAGTCTCTGAAGATCAGAGGGTAGTGCACATTGATTATGAGGATTATGATGGGCATAGACATGAGGTTGAAGTGGTGGAAAACACCCCATTGCACAACTGGTTCAGAGATTCTTTGCAGGATGAGAAAATGGAGATCTTGGTTAATAGTTATCACCATCAAGGAGTTAAGAGGTTAGCTCAACGTTTCGTTCCAATGGCATTTGCATCAGATGGTTTGATCGAAGGGTTCTATGATCCTGATGCTTACAATCCAGAAGAGGGCAAGTTTATAATGGGACTCCAATTTCATCCAGAGAGAATGAGGCGACCAGATACGGATGAATTCGATTATCCTGGATGCCCATATGCTTATCAGGTGATTCATTGATTTCATATATATGATTTGTCACAATATACAGGAATAAGATGAACAATTAATGTTCCTATTCATTTAGCATATTTGTTTTCTTATTTATAATGGAAATTGTGTAGGAATTTGTGAAGGCAGTGATTGCTTATCAGAAGAAGCTCATATGTAGCTCAACAACTCTGCCAAAAGCTCTTAAGCTTGATCAAGAAATGGAGAATAAAAGAAAGACTATTGTTCGGAGTTTCTCGCTTGCAAGATATATATATGCAGGAGGCCATGGCATGAATCCATCCAAAGAATCTGAACTTGAAGCTGGCGCAGAATTTCTTGAGGTATATTCACTATATTCTTATATGGATGAAGTTACGATATTGGTTCAATATCGAACAATGACTTGTGACAATATATCTACGTTCTGTATTTGTAGCTATTGATCACGAAAATAATAAAATGAAGTGGATAATGTATAGAAGAAAACTTTATATAGGTTCTCAAATGCTTGATTTCTGCATTTAAAATTATTGTCGTGATGAAATATTTACGATGATTTTGTCAATCATGTGCAGTCAAACACAGTATTGAGTTTGCAGCAAGAGACTAGGTTGAAGCAGATGGGGGCTACAGTAAGGAATTCCTCTTCCATCTTTGAGAGATTGAAGTTGAATGAGGATAGAGAAAGGTTAGCAAGGAGTGTGATGGGCAAAATGTCTGTTGAACAGTTATCAGATCTCATGTCTTTCTATCACATGATGGGGCAGATATGTTCAGAAGTCTTAGAAAGAAAGCTTCATGGCATAGTCAATGAACTTACTTCTTGACTTATCTGCATGGATTTGGGGGTTTCATGCTGTGTTATCAAGTTGCTGTACCTTCGTCTTTATTGAGGAATCACATGAAGCTTGAATGAAGATCAAAATGGTTCTGTTCTTTATTAATTTGTATCTACTTTTTACCTTTATCTTCTTTATCTTGTGATTACAAGTTGGCTGTCTTTCATTTTCTGTTGTGTTTCTTTCTTTTTGATGGGATTTGATGATCTCACAATGTGATTTTCTGGCGTATGTAAAATCATTTGTATGTAAAAACATTTGTACTTAGTGGCAGATCATTTGCTTCCTGCACATTCTGATCAAAATTACACAGCTTTGAAAGTGAAATAAATAGGATGTTTTAACACAATTGAGACTGTGTATAAAAGGGTCGTTGATGAAAACATAGCATATAGAAGGAACCCTGCTTAATCAGAATTAGAGTTTATTACATGATCACTCTAGTGTCCTCGTATACTATAGTTCTCAGAAGTCGAAATGAACCCTGCTTAAGCAGCTCTCTATGTTTTTTGTCTAGAATTTCCTTCTTGATGTTCAAGTTCCTCAACGCTTTTGTTATCCATAAAGTGGTACCAAATCTGTGCAATAATTTTGATTGTGATCTGGCACCATCAGCGGAGTGGGAAATCCTTTTCACGGAAATGGAGATTCTGAGTATTATGGTTATCCTGGGGTAGGTTTCCATTGATCGGGACAACCACCCTAGATTACATTGGCTGCCCTTTTTCAAGTAAACTTCCACGTTTTAGCCCAGTTAACTTTTTTCGTAAAGGGGTAGCTTTTTTTGTCTCTTAGTACAGGACATGTACGATATATAGTACACGATTTATCCAATATCACACACTGGAAAGATTAGAGCCCAAAAAGCCCGATTCTGCACACTACCTTCAAAAGAATCCAAGTACTTTTGAAAGAGGGTACTGTAGTTTGACATTTGATTTACATGACTTCCAATTATGTAGGTACTTGGTATCATCCTTCAATCGCTCTGTTTGCAACATTCTATTGTTTGACTCACATTAGCAAATGAAGATACTATATGGGCTGATTCGAATGTCCCAGAGGGCCGGACATGGATTTACATCGATCCCTAACCCAATTTGGCTGCTAGTCTAACAAAATGCCCAGGCCCTGATCTTTTAGGGCTAAGTGGGCCGCATCATCATGCCCGCCTCTAGCCCAAAGAATAAATATGATACCTCTTCATATTTTACAATATATATCGTTTAGTTCTGTAAATATTTTTCTCCCATGTGCAAGTTATTATTTTATCATTTGCAGATCCTGTGTGTTATCTTGTTGTGGTATTGTTGACTCTCCCTGGTATTTTTGGAGGAGATTACAATCCGCCCCCTTTTTTTTTATAAGGATTAGACGTGTCCAAAATAAGTAGATATTGGGTATAACCGTTATACCTTGTCAACAATTATTGGGTGTAACAATCCAATAAAAAAAATAACAGAAATGATAAAATAGGGCCTAATATTTTTTCGTCTAGGATAGTTTATGTATACCTCGACTTATCCCCTCTCTAATATTGTCAAAGATAGGTTATCACGTTGTTATTATGATATTTATGAACAACAAATCACTCATAGTCTGACTCCAATAAATTACTAAAATTCGAACTTAAAATATTTAAATTTACAATTTATCTCTGTTACCACTTAAATTACATGGTTGTCGATCAGAATCCCTTCGACTCTTCCAATTAGACGAGCCAACATAGATTCCATATGGAAACATGGGTTATTCCTTTCTCCAGCAATTTTTACCCCGACCAGCACTACCAAATGCCCAAAACTAGCATCTCTATTCCAAAAAATAACAGTATACAAAGATACCTGTTTGCGTCGGAACTTGTCCCAATCTTATAGTGATGAGATAGCAAATAGAATCAGCGCCATTTTCATCTATGAGTTCCTGAAACTCCCCTCAAAATGCATCAACCCTCTGCTTCACCATCTTTCCTTCACTTTCTCCTCACAATCTCATTGATTTCAATTCAAATCCCAACAATTCTATGCGGTAACGAACTGCGATATGTAAACTGTAGTGAGGATTTTTCATGTGGAAGCATCAAAGGCATCAAGTACCCTTTCTGGGGTGCAAATCGTGCAGACTACTGTGGCAACCCCGGGTTCGAGCTTGAGTGTCTAGACAGCGTCCCACTGATTACAATGGTGACAGAAAAATATCGAATTCTCGATATTAATCTCCAGCGACGGGGTCTGGTAGTGGCTAGAGATGATTACTGGAATGATATATGTCCGGTACACTTGGTCAATACCACCCTAGATTTCTCTCTCTTCAGCTATTCCTTTGGGCTCCGAAACCTGACACTATTCTATGGTTGTACTTACGTATCAGGGCCTATATTAGGTCAGTATGACTGTGGCATAAACAGTACTAATACCAACCTTTTCTATGTGACAAAAAATTTAACGACTGAGCCACCATTGAGGATGACTTGCAATAACACAGTCATTTTACCGGTCTTTGAAGGGACTGCTCTGGCTCTGGAGACCAATAGAACGGGTCTTGGCGCAGCGATAGATGGGGGTTTCGAATTGCAGTGGAATGTAGATAATAGTGAGCAATGCAGTACATGTGTGAAATCTGGTGGGGAGTGTGGGTATAATAAGACTGATAATCAATTCACTTGCTTTTGCCATGATCAATCGTACCCGAGTGCATGTCTGACCAGGCCAGGTACGTATGCTTTTTCTTTGATTGCATTAGTGGAATTGAAGAACAGAGTGACTTATCTTTGATTTTATATATATTCCGGAGAATTGATATGTGGGGGGTTGAACATTAAGATTAAGAAGCTCACATGGTGGTGGCATTTCGGGCAAAATACATGTAGTCGACTTCACATAATTAAAACAAAACTTGGTTACGTTGTACCTACTTTGGGTGACCACAATTCCTGGTCGTCCCCCGCCCCATCTTCTTGGGTACTTTTTGTGTTGGGAACGCCCAAACAAGACAGTTTAGCATAACTTGCATGAACTGACTGAACCCTAACATAAGGTGGTTGATGTTATGCCAATGTAAATACTTCCTGTGGCTGAAGAACAAGATGCAGAACAATTGATCTTTGGATCGATGCCTTGGGCAAAATTTAGGGTAGGTTCCTTTTAATGAACCCTAATAATATTGTGATAAAGTAGATTGGAAGATCATACAGTGGGTCCACCCGTGGGAATTTTTTTTTTTTTTTTTGGGGGGGGGGGGG